CCCAAAACCCCAAAACCCCAAAACCCCAAAACCCCAAAACCCCAAAACCCCATAAAAAATTATAAATTTGTATCCTATAATTAAATATCAAAAATGGCTGCAAGAGTCGGAAAATACAAGTTAGGTAAAACCCTCGGTGAAGGCTGGAACTCTCAGTAAGTCCTCCTCAGCTCATCTCCTAGAGTCAAAGTCGCCACCGACACAGAAACTGGCAAATCCTATGCTATGAAACTCATGTTTGTAGAAGATGCCGAAGACCAAGAAGACTTTGACCTCTCGCTGTTCCTCACACTCATGAACAACGAAGTCGAGCGACTTGAGAAGCTTCCGATCCACAACAACATCATTTCGCTGGTCGAGTATGACTGGAAGGGTGTCTACATCACGAGCAAAGGCACCGAGAAAGAAGTTTTGTACTGCGTCCTTGACCTGGCCACCGGTGGCGACTTATTCGACTACATCTTCACAGTCGGAAGAGGACTCCCTGAAGACATCGCCAGGTACTACTTCCACAAACTCATCGACGCCATCCAGCTGCTGCATGAGAGCAACGTTGTACATAGAGACCTGAAGCTGGAGAACCTGCTCTTAGACGGGGAATACAACTTGAAGATTGCAGACTTTGGGCTGTCGACCACGGTTGAGTCGAGTTACGGAGGAGGCGTCATGCACACCAGGGTCGGCACTGAGCGCTACATGCCACCAGAAATGCTTGAGAAAAACGCTTATGTTGGTATATGAGCTGATCTCTTTGCTGCTGGTATTATACTATTTGTGCTTGTGGTTGGAATAATGCCAACTCATAAAACTGCAGAATCTAATGATTATCTGTATAAATACATTCGCAAAAAGGAGTACGAGAAATACTGGACAGTAATCTCTAAACTGCTTAATCTTGATCTCAGTGGAATCAGTGAAGATTTTTTCCATTTAGTCACCACTATGGTTAAATATGATTACAAGAAACGTTTTACTATTGAAGAAATTAAAGCACATCCATGGATGCAAGGCCCAATTGCCACCGAAGAAGAAGTCAGAAAGGAATTAGCATCAAGGAAAGTTGAGATTAAACGCAAGTTAGGAGATTCTGATGATACTGACCTCGAAGACCTAGCTGATGTTCACAAAGATGAATTCGAAAAGATTGAAAGGGGTGATGAACCCGAGTGGGTTGAGGAAGAAATTGATCGTAGAATTAAGGTCTACAACCCTGAATTTCCAACCATGACTGAATGTTTCTCGACCTTCAAACCTAATGTCTTACTAGGATCTGTGTATAATTTCTGTAAAGATAAGATCCTCGAATTCAAACTTGGAAGCGAAGATTACTCAGCAACGGTTCAAATGCCATCAGAAGATGACAATATCGTAGATTTTGCAGTTGAGGTTCTCAAGGTTAAGCCAGAATTAGACGAAGATATTGATTGTGATGAACTTGAAGAAATTGAGGATGATGATGACATTAAATATTGTGTAGTGTTTAGGAAGAAGAGAGGTCCCAAACAGGACTTCATCAAAATCTTTAGGAGCTTTAGGTTCTTCTTTAAGAAGCTCAACAATGTTGAATAGAGAATACAGTTACATACTAATAAAGTAAATATGAAAGATTTCTTTAATCACAGTTACAATATTGTCTCAAATAAAAGGGGTTTTGGGGTTTTGGGGTTTTGGGGTTTTGGGGTTTTGGGGTTTTGGGGTTTTGGGG